AAACACACAAACAGCACCGGAATGCCGCGGGGTGTGCTTTGACGCGGACAAGGATGATGCCGCCTCTTGCTTCTACTTGCTTCTGATCCGAGTAAATGTCGTGTAAACATGTCGTACATGTGTATATCTACGACAGGTGGACCAGTTGCGGCGGGAGATTACGGCAAAACGCGCCTTCCTGGGGTTTACAGAGGGCCCTATCAACTTCGAGCCAAGTTTCAAGGTACGGTTTGTACAGGGAAGCCGTCGTACAAGTACGGCCAGTTTGCGAGCGTGTCGAATCATTCGAATCTGCTGCGGTTTGATTCTCCTGATTTGATTCACCCTTTCAAAAAACGATTTCCCTCGTGTCGTACAACCTGATTCAATCCAATCTGTGAGCGCACACACATACATACATACATGCATACATACATATGCACGCCCGCCATCTCCGCCAGCTATTGCCTGCGGCTCAGACCTAGATTATTAAAGCACGCATACATACATATATACATACACACGCACATACACACGTTTTCCTTACAGGTGCTGCGACGGCGTGGCCACGAGTACACCCCCCAGCGGAGCCCAGCCTACTGCGACCGCGTCCTCTATCGGTATGAGCTGTGGCTGCTAGGCGGGGGACCGTGCCGCTTCCTTGCCTGCACCTGCTTAACTTGGTGGTGGTGGTGGTGGTGGTGGTGGTGGCGCGGGCGGGGGAAGGCGTCAGCCCTCACGTCCTGGACACGCAGCTCTAGATAACCCACATGCATACTCCAACCGCGTGTGACATACAAAGCTTGGTTAGGCAACCCCCTTTTTTTTCTTCTGGACGGATGGGGGGATAGAAGGATGAAGGTGTGGACAAGTCGATGGCGAAGCACACCTCTCTAAATTTCCTTTACTATAAGTTTACTAATAAGAACAAATGAAGTACCCCACCCAGTGGTACTAGCATACTGATTGGAAAAACATTGCTCGTCCCCATTCGTCACATTCGGGTTTCCAACCTCCAACCTCCAACCTCCAACCTCATGTGTACCCAAAATATAAGGAGGGAAATATTGCCTCGGGAAGGAGGCCACCAGTGAAGCTTAACCACCCTGTAACAACATCAACAACGAGGAACCTAAAACGACGACAACCCACTCCCCCCGCCCTCTTCCCCCCCCCTCCTCGCACACTGCGCCCAGATCTAATCTGCCTCTGAAGCAGATCCGAGTTGTGTCGTACTTCAGCGCCTCGGATATCGCTACCTCGGACCACAAACCCATTGGTGCCGCACTTGTCGTACCAACGGTTTGGCGAACCACCGTGGACGAGACGGCGGCCGGATTCGGTCGCAGTCAGGGCCCGAGTGGTGGCAACCTGGCCATCACCCCGGACGGGGGCGGCTCGATGAACCCCTCCGGGGCAACCGGGGGCGGCGCCCCTCGCGCTGGAGGTCTGCAGGCGCATCCCCACCACCAGCCCTATGCACATGTACGAACGAGCGTACGAGAGTCCGTCAGTGTGTTTATTTGTCCGTACATCTGTCTGTTTGGCTGTTTTTTCTTTTGCTGGCGGTCTGTACCACGACGGTCTGCCTCCATATTGTTGAGCTGTTATGAACTGTCTGTCTGTCTGTCTGTCTGTCTGCCTCTACACAT